TATATATATATATATATCCCATATTTATTTCAGGCTAGACAATCATCATTGGCAGCAACTGCATATGTTGACACACTACAACAAAAAAACACTATGTAGTACTCACCTCAAACTCATGTGAGGGTGCTGTGGTAAGTATTTTTTCTAATTCCTTTTTCACAGATAATTCTAGTTCTTGTCGAATGACTTCTTGGAACTGAGAAGCACCATCTTGAGACATAGCTTTGCTAAGATCTGAAAACAAAAATATAAAGCCACTGATTAAAATCAGCCAGCAGGAGACAGGTTAGCAAAAATTAAGGATGCATGAAAATGCTATATAGAAACCTACTACTTATAAACTTAAATAATAATCATGATAATTTAAAAATTAAGTTAAAAACTAAAAATTAAAAAAGAGCTTAGAATAGAGGTAACTCTCATGGGTAGATAATGCTGCTCCCATAAGTCACAAGTTCTTAAAGTAAAAACCCCAGTGCCAGTTGCAGACTACCTCCCCTATGAGTTGTTGGCCAGAGAGTTCTCAGAGGCCCCCAAAATAATACAGGCTATTTCCACTGCTCCACCAAAACTACATGGTAAGACCCTGTTGTTGAAGACATCACATGTTTTGATTACATGACAGAAATCAAGATGGAACAGAGTTGGAAGCATCCCTCCACCCTCCTGTTGGCTAACTTTTTCATACTGAATGAAAGTGCTATGTAGACTGCTGGGGGAAGAAAGCTCATTAATGGTCTCACCCAGCTACAGACCATGTGTGTTACAATAATGACTTGCCAGGCAAGATATGCCTATAGGCTCAATGGTGGCAAGACTATTTTGAGGCTAACCAGCTGCTTTGTGATTGGATTTGAGGTCTCCTTCCATAGGAAGGAATATATACCTGATACTATAAACCTGGTAAAAAGCCTATGGCTGGGAGGGCATGAGCCCAAGGTTGAAACACACTACCATTGTTTCCCTAAATGAACATGTTCTCAAATACTCTTTTAAGTATTTATCTTTATATCTACAGACTAGTACAACTCTGCTTGGGAAAGAGAAGCTTCTTTTTGCAGAGAGTGATGGTTAATGCAGAGACTCATATCTGATCAAAGTGCTGAGAAAAAGTGATTAAGGTGCTCTTAGCCTTAAAAAGGACATCTATATCATATTCCCCTTCCCAAAGCCCCCCCCCCCAAATCACAGAAGAGAAAGCGAATGGAAAAGAATTTAAGAGCTAAAGGATGAAGAAGAGTGACATGAAATGCTGCCATCCAGATATAACATTACTGTTGTAACCATGAACACACAGCAGCTATGGACATATGTACAAAATTGGGCCCTTCAATTTTCCACCATAGATAAAGGAGGTAGGTGCCCATGAGACCCTATCACTTCCCGAGAAGTTAATGACTGTTAATGGTTGCTGGAGTGATTTTTTTCTCTAATGTGCAAGGTAAGAGAGGGTTCTGAAGGAAAAGGGATAAAAGAGTAATGGGGGTGGAGAGTAAATATAATCACAATGTATTGTATATATATATGTATGAAACTGTAAAAAGAAAGAGAGAAAATAAACGGATCTTTGAGTCAAAAAAGAAAAAGATGAAAGGAAAGAAAAGGAAAAGAAAGAGCAAACAGTCTTAAAAAGCTTCTAAGTTTCAACATATCTATTTCTGCCAACCCAACAAATAGGATTCAAACCTATGGCCTTATGATCCTCTAGCAAGATTTCAGTGTTGTCAACTAATTAGGATTTTAAAATAATATGAGCTCACATTTGACTGTTTGCAATACTCATATGCTTTAGGAGTCTATGTGGCACATGAATAAATACTTTTGTGTGAGATTAATGAAAGAGGATTAATTTCATTTGAACATACAGCTCCATTTCTACTGTTTCCATACTAGCAATCAAAACTAGAGAAAATTTAAAACACCTGAATGACATGAGCAGGCATATAGTTTATAGACCATGTCTTTAATGAACTGCTTCTTCATAAGAGCTGAAGGTTTAGCTATTTCACTGGAGGAAAAAAAAAAAATCCTTCTTCCTCTTCAGTCCAGATGAAAATTTTAAGGAATCCTTTCAATTTTAGATGGGAGTCATCACAGTTTCCTGACCACCATCCCAGGGAAAAAAAGTCCCTTTGAAAATACTAACAATTCCAAGGTGCCCCTAGTTCCATGCATTAACGTTTTTACTTTTAAAGGAAAGTACACAGAACTACCTTCCCCCTTTCACCATTCTTCTATTTCAGACTAGACTATCATGGCTTTTGGCACAGGTGGAGAAAAATACCAATCCACGTGTTTTACATACTCAGATCTTGAAGGCTACCACTTTGTCCACTTCTCATAAAGGGGCAATCAAGTTATTATCTACCCTTCCTTTTTATCCTCAGTTACCTAATTCAATCTTATTTCAGAAATGGGTTCTTAAGGTTACATTCAAATATTTCATTTGAAATACAGTACAAATACTCTAAAAAATCATATTTCTACAAGGTTAAAATTTCTCTCCTCTTATACATGACTATATACTTTATACACTACCTCATACACTAAAAATTCTTCTATTTGTTCTCTGTGTAAGGAAAAGCATTTATAAGAAATGAAAGCCAATGTAATATTTGAAAAATACTTTTGAGAACACTAGCAAATTATGTAACTCCTGGGTTAGTTTATTTAATGAAGACAGCCTCTCCTCCCAAATAGGTAAAACTAATAGCAAATGAGATATTTAGCATGGTTCTTCAAAATCTTTTAATAAAATGTTCAAGAGCAGGGTTAGAGAGATGGCTCAGTGGTTAAGAGCACTGCCTGCTCTTACAGAGTACCCAGGTTCAGTTCTCATCATCCACATAGCAGCTAATCATTATCAGTAACTGTTAAGGTTCAGGTAGCCCTGCCCCCTCACCAACAGGGCCTCACAAGCCCCCGAGAAAAGGGAACGGAGTTGATAAGAGCCCTGGTCTTTGAAGTCAAGAGAAGCAGACTTTTTTCTACTGTTTGGCCAATGCAGCAGGCTTCCCCTTTGATCTCTAAAGAGGGCAGGTTTTAACAATCTCGCTCTCCCACCCCCCAACTTAAAAATATATATATATCTTACCTCTGCAGGAAGCAGAAGCCTGCCCTTTAATAAGACCCCAGCTCATGACCCAGGCAGATATTTTCCCTGCCTGGAAGGGACTCTGTCCCATGTGTTCCTTTGCTAATAAACTCTATTCCAATGGAGTTTTATCTGTGTCATGGTGCTTTCTCCTGATCAACCGGATTCATCCATAGGCTACTTTAAGATGGTGCCAAAACCGGGTTCTTACTTCAAGGGAGCTGCCTGGACTTCTCTAATGCCAATAATTTGGCTTTCAGTTTTTCTAGCCATTTGTCTTCAAGGTGCAAAGGGAGCTGACACTTTGTGATGACTAGACCTGTGAAGCACATGGAAATTTGCTGTACTCCAGGGCCAAAACCCTACAAGAGGCAAGCTACTACCAACACATAGTTACAGCAATGAGTGATAAAAAATAATAGTGTACTTGAGGGAGAGGCTTGAGATGCCACCTCTACTGGTCTTAACTCCTCCCCTTTCTACAGTATGATTCTAAGCCTGTTTTTCTCTGGAATAGAGTTATTTCCCTCTCTGATACTCAGGTGCTCTATGCTTGCTTATGTTCCTGCCCCACCACTCCCTGAGTGCTTTCTAGTTATAATGTCAGGGTAATATTAATTATATTGGTAAACTGTCACGTGCTGTTTGAGCTCACTGAGATGCTTACTCTGGAGATGGGATTGGCCCTCCACTTCAGACTCAAGCCTATTATCTCAAGATGTGTTCTCCAAGACTTTTTCCAGGTTCAGGCTGGTCCCCTGACCCTGTGACAAGTAGAAGGAGAACAACAAAATAGCCTGAGAGTAAAGGCACTATGCAGTTGAGAACAGCTAGGGTGTAAATTAATTTCAACAGAGGGTATTACTGTCTATAAAGAAACTAGTTAATGGAATTACTTTAAGTATTATTTAGATTTTATTTATACTTAACCTAATATATTAATGTTTCCTTTTGTCTTTCCTGTCTCCTACAAGGTTTTATTAACTTCCTTCAGTTATTTAGATCTTTAAAAAGATGCTACCTCAAATCTATATGGAAACAACTCTTTCTTTAGACCACTAATTACCTATACAAAACAACATCTAAGTTGGTTGGGTAAAATCCTATTTGTTAAAAAATTTGTTTTTAGTTTACTTTCAAGGTGTTTTAAGATGTATTCATTTTGTCTACTTCAAAGGTGTTTTGGTTTAAAAATGATGAACCACATTCTCAACAAAGACTATGTAACTAAATATGTATACACAGTCAACATAAATTTATTCTTCTTAAAATTAATTTACTTGGTATCATATTAATTTTTAAGTAAAATCTCATACAAACTAAAAATGTTAAATTAACACCAAAATATTTTTTTCAGCCAAAATATTCTTTCTTTAATCTACAACATGGTTTCCGGTACTAAAATATATAAATTAATTTTAAGTATCTCTCTCCCTATCTCCCTCTCCCTCTCGGTCTTGCTCTCGCTCTCTCCCTCTCCACCACCCTTCTGGGGCTCTACTAAACCTCTAGTAAACCACTGCCCTTCTAGGGCTCATCTTCCCTCAGCCTCTACTAAACCTCAGGATCAACTTGTTCCACAGGCTTCCCTCCCTTCTGGTTCACTGCGTTTTTTCTGCTTTTCTCGCATCCCATTCCTTGTACTTTGTCTCCACCTACTGGCTGGTTCCGCCACGCTTTCATTGCAGGGTTTTCCTATCCCCTGGCTTGCCTCGAAATCACACATGTGTCAAAACCCCTTCCTTTCTCTGGATATAGGGCACTATTTCCATAGACAGGAATACGCACTGCTCCCTGTCCAGGACAGGATCTCACCTTTCCTCTTCCTGATGATCTAATTGCGGGATGCCACCTTCTGGGACTTGGAAATACCTCGAAAATAACTCGACCCCGAGCAACAAAAAAGGAGGCTTTCTTTTGATGCCTGGTTCTCCTCGTTATTGTTTTTGTGTGACCAATGCCAAACCCCTTCTCCTCCTACTCCCTACCCCGTCTCTCTCTTCCTCGTCTGCTGCGAGTTCCTGCCCGGACTCATGATCCTGCTTCCACTCCCTATGGAGAGAGGGTTTCCTTTGTCTCCCGTCTGCTCAGTTCTGTCTCTACCTCCTACCTGCTTGCTCAGTTCTTTCTCTATCTCCTC